AAGCAGGTTTCCCATGTTACAGATGAGGAAACGGAGACTCACAGAGCTTACCTGATACCCAAGATCACACCACTGGGATGTGAAGGAGATGGGATATGAAGCCAGGCTTTTCTAATTCCAAAGGGGGAAATACAGTGCTCCCTGTTCACAGAGGACAAGGCCAGACTAGAAGTACTGACTTCCCGGAAGGGCCAAGACCGGGAACTGAACTTGAACGGCTTCAGAGAAAATGAAGCTGGAACGTGCTGTCCTGATCAATTCGTGCGTGAGGGGGAGGTTTATTCAGAAGTGAAAGCGTGGCTGCAGGCTGGAGGCTTTGTTCTGGAGTCTGACTGAGACTGCGCAGGGAAAGCCCCCACTGGGGTGAGGAGAGCCAGGTCCAGTCTGAAGGGGCTGGCTGGGCTCCAAGGGTACCTGGGCAGTTTTAACAGACAGACTTTAAAACAAGTCAGTCCTTTCCAGAGTGGACACTTGCACTTGTCGGGGCCCTTTCATCCAAGGCCCAGTGCCCTCCCGTGTGACTGAGTGGCTGCAGGGCAGGGAAAGGAGCACCAGGCTGGGGAGTTAAGAGCTCCAGACACTATTCTTGGCTCAGTGATGTGAGATCCAGGGCAAGTCATCTATTCTCCCTGAGCATCAGAGGCCCTTTGTTCACTAGAGGAAGAGGCTTTATGCTTCTAATCCAGGCAGGGCACAGCAGAATCTCAGGGGACTTGTTAAAGTTATGACCCCTGCATCTCCCCACCTGCAGGGTAAGGGATGGCAAAGGAGGACTGTGGGAGGGAGGTGACCTGGACATATGATTCCCGGGGCAGAAGGTGAAGGCCCCAGACACTTGTCCTGTCAGCAAATGTCAGCAAGGAAGTAGCTCATTCCAGCATATTCATTCTTAAAACAAAACAAAGCCCAAAGCACAAACACTGCTAAACCACCTATGGACAAAGACTTTCATGTTCTCTCATTAATGGAGCTGACAAAGTGGTCTAAATGACTGAACAAAGACTGGCTCAGATGGGAGCTCTAAGATGCACCAGGGGTTGGTTGGCCCCATGCTGTCTTCGGTATTAGAAAAGCACATGGGAGGGGGGTATTTGTCACTTTTTAGCATCCTTCCAGTGCTGGGGAGTCTTCCTCTAGGTGAGTCTTGGGGTGAGGGTGAGGCTCTACTATAATAGCCAAAAATGCCAGCCACCTGCTCTTTCTGGGGTGCCTGGTACCCCATGGACAGGGGTCTAACCTCAGCCAGTGAGAGGTTCCTGCCTGACTCCAGAGCAAGAGGCTGAGAGAAGCCAGGGAAAGTGTCCAGAGTACCACGCCAGGCTCTTCCTGGGGCCTGACCCAGCCTGTGGTCCTGGCGCCACAGATTTGTCATATCCCCAGCCTTCCTGGCAATTCTGAGAGCTACCCAATATCCTTCTAATCCATTCTGATTCCGCTAAAATGAGACGGAGTCAGTCTCTCCTGCTGGTACCTAGAATCTCAGCCTGGTGCCCACTCCACATGGCAATGACTTACTTATCCATCTGTGGATTTCCATGTTCATAATGTATTCCACTATTTCAAACTATCAAGAAAATAGATTTGCTCTGTAACTCATACAAGCTTCTCACGCAGTCTGAGAAGGGAGTGTGGGGTGGTGGCTCTCAGGAGCAGAGCTGGTGTGCTGGAGATTCTTAGTTTGCCCCCGGGGAGTTTCTAGCCTCAGCTGTTGGCAGCACTGGCAGAAAAGCCGGAAGGGTTGGGTTGGACAGGATGGGAGTTCAGAGTGTTCTCAGCACAATCAGCGCTGAATGCGGTGACTCAGATCTCATCCACAGTTCTCAGGTTTGGGTCTGTACAAAGCCAGGTAAGCTGGTGTGGTTGGCCTTGGACACATGCTAATACCCCACCTGGGAAGGGCACCTCAAATCTATTATTAGTAAACAAGGAAAATGCCTCAAATATCTAGTACATATTTCTAGGTATTCAACCGTACGCCCTGTAAAGCACTCCCCGTACCATGGCATAAAAATAAAAGACACAAAGAGTCCCAAGAAAATTATTTGATTTGCCTGTCAGTTGAATTATCACCATGTGCATTTTATGTGGTTAAAAACTAGATTGTTTTCCTCTTCTCACCCACACCCTGCTCGTTACCAGCAGCAAGTACACTTCCTGTTCATTCCAAGGCCATACAAATGTGGCGTCTGATCTAAACTCCTGCGATATTTTGCCTGATTTAAATTTGGTGGCTAGCCTCTATGGAAATTTCCCTTCCGATGAACAACTAACAGAGCACCAGGCATTCAGAAGAAACATGTAGGGTGGAACGTGTTTGTTCTAAAAAGGCAAACCTTCCTACTCAGAAAATATATATTTTTTTCTGCCAGGAAAGTTGAGAACAGATTGTAGTACTTCATCTTGGCTCACGGATTGAAAGGCAAAGTTATGGAAAGGAGGGAGGTGGGGGCATTGTGGGATTCCGACGGGTACCCATTTTTCTTAGAGTACCGGAAAAAAACTAGTTGAAAATGAGAGCTTCTTCCAAAGAACTCTTGATAATGATAATATTACCATAGTGCTCAAAATGGAACAGTAACTAATGGAAGTGGTTTTTGGGGGGCGTACAGATGACTCAGAATCCAACGATGGGGTGTTAGGCAATGTTTTCCTGGATCCCACAGCTCCGTGTTCTAATCAAAGGCAATGCACCCATGATATTTTTTTCATTTACCCAAGGGATTCCACCTGTAGGAAACCTGTTAGTTACTTCCGTTAACTCTTAATTGGGAACACAGTGGTCTACCAGAACATTCCAAACCTCTCATGTTGGGCATGTATCTCATCCTATGAAACTTTTTAACCAGAGCTGTGACAATGAGCAGTGAATCTCCATTCTTCTTCAATCCCCAGGTAAGTCTGAATTAGCAGTTAAATGGCCAAAAGGCAAGGAGGAAAAGGCAAAGGCCATCTCCAAATATTTGATCTTCCATAAACACTGACCCTAGGAGTGAAGGACTCCAGCGCCATTCCATTTCATCCCATTCAGTTTCTGTTATTAAAATGACTACGTGGAGAATTTCCTGATGTGAGTAGAGGAGTTAAGGTCTGCATCTGACAGTCCTTCCCTGCATCAGGCATGCAATACCCACGGCCTGGGGCAGCTTTAACATCCTCACAGATTCTTATTCATTCTGTACCAGCTGTTGCTTTTGTTTCTTGCTCAGGACTGAGAGTTCATGGAGGTCCTGGGCATTTCTTTAAATTTTTTTTTTTTTGCGGTACGCGGGCCTCTCACTGTTGTGGCCTCTCCCATTGCGGAGCACAGGCTCCGGATGCGCCGGCTCTGCGGCCATAGCTCACGGGCCTAGCCGCTCCGCGGCATGTGGGATCTTCCTGGACCGGGGCATGAACCCGTGTCCCCTGCATCGACAGGCAGACTCTCAAGCACTGTGCCACCAGGGAAGCCCCATTTCTTTATTTTTTAAAAGTTTTAATTTTATTTATTTTTGGCTGCGTTGCATCTCCGTTGCTGTGCACGGGCTTTCTCTAGTTGCAGAGAGCAGGGGCTACTCTTCGTTGCGTTGCACGGGCTTCTCCTTGCGGTGGCTGCTCCTGCTACGGAGCACGGGCTCTAGGCACATCGGCTTCAGTAGTTGTGGCTCGCAGGCTCCAGAGCGCAGGCTCAGTAGTTGTGGTGCACGGGCTTAGTTGCTCCGCGGCATGTGGGATCTTCCTGGGCCAGGGATAGAACCCGTGTCCCCACTGGCAGGCAGATTATTATTCACTGCACCACCAGGGAAGTCCCCGGGCATTTATTTTCTACATGAACCCTTCCTAACCAGGGTCTTATAAGAGTGGGCTTTGCTCTGATCCTCATCCTCACATTTAGATATGTGGTGTCTCCATTGTTATTGGAAAATAAGTTAACCATTTTTTCTTTGTAAGTAATTAATCTCTGTGAATTTTTCACTTTTGTAAATTTGTCACAGCAATATTCACTCTTCCAAGAGAGGGTAAAGTCTCCCTTGAGAGAAGTAAGTTCCAGGAAAGGAGATGCAAAAAGCTAGCATCATTGCATAACTCATTGGCCAAACCAGTTCAGAGGCTGCTGTCTCCCCATGTGCCTAGGACCTCAGTGTGGGTGTCAGAGAATAAGCCTCCCCCCTGCCTCCTGCCCCTGAAAAATAATAAAAGGCAGCCAATTTCCAAGAGTACCCCTTTCCCTCCAGCTTCTCCCACACCCCACATCCGAGCTCCCGGTTGCCACATATTCCATCTTGAGGCTGCTTACCGACTGCACTTTATAGAACAGGGGTTCCCAACCCCCGGGCCACAGACCAGTACCGGCCTGTTAGGAACTGGGCCGCACAGCAGGAGGTGAGTGGCAGGCGAGAGACAGCAAAGCTTCATCTGTGGTTCCCCACTGCTGGCATTACCACCTGAACCATCCCCTCACACCCCGTGGAAAAACTGTCTTCCACAAAACCAGTCCCTGGTGCCAGAAAGGGTGCGGACCGTTGTGATAGAGGATACGGGGTCAGGTAGGGAATGAAAGAGGAGTTTCTAGGACTTGGCAACTAGGATGTGGCCCCTTCAGTTGCTCCAACAACTTGGTTTAGAAACACCCAGCGTTCATCCATGGACCAATGTGACTGGGAAGGCAGATGAGGTTTCAGGGAAAGGTCTGAGAAAAATAAAAATAGTCTTGGCTCCAGAATGGAAATGCAAGCCCTGTCAAGGGTACTTCCAGAAGATTTTTCCTTTGGCTGGTCATAGCCGGGAGCTTTCACATAACAACAGCATCCCAGAGAACATGGCTATCGCAACAAGAGCAGACCGCAGAAGTTCTCCATGGGGGCCTGGAAGCCAAGGCAGGCGAGGTCTCGGGTCTACCACAAAGCTGACATCCTGGCTTAGAGACCGCCTTTACCCTCAAACGCCAGCACCAAGTCTCCCAAGTCACCCAGATTCCCTCACCCTTGGAGGAGAGCTGTGTGTGTGTGGGGTGACCAACTCACCGTCATCTCCTCTGAGTTCCCACTGGCTACCTCCACCACCCTCAGGGCAGGGTCCACCTTCACCTTGGCGCGGGTCATGAACTGGATGACAGATGAACTGTCCTGAGGAAGAAACAACACAACTCACTGTAAGACTTTTCAATCACAATGGCTGGGCCCCGAGGTCCCAGACAGAACTGAAATTCAAAGATTCCATGTGAACCAGACAAAAATTTCTATCACTGAATGAGACAAGAGGTTTCCAGTCTCTCTCTTGAGGATTCTTTCATATCATAGTGGACGCTGAAAAGCTCTGGAGTTTTGCTGAGTCATCAACACATGCAGGCTTGTGTGCTGTGGTTTCCAAGTGGCAGGAGCCAGATACTTGGATCTTGGTATTGACATATTCCCAAAGAGCAGAGAATAAATAAAGCTGTTAATTGTGTACAACAAATCGAGGCCTGGCGTTCCACAGAAGGGATCCGAGTTACATTTCTCAAGCATCTTCCTGCCTTGACCACAACCCTCAAACTCTCCACATGAGTTCCTTTTAACTCTTTCTTTGCTCTTAAATGAAGCTGGTTCGGGGGGTCAAAGCCATTTAAGCTTGGAAGAGGGTACCTGATGGAGAGATGAGAGGCGGGAAGCATCTAGCTTATACAGTAAGTCCCCCCACGTGTGAACGAGTTCCGTACCGAGAGTGCGTTCGTAAGTCTAACAAAGTTAGCCTAGGTACCCAACTAACACAATCGGCTATATAAATAGTACAGTACTGTAATAGGTTTATAATACTTTTCACAAAAATATTACATGAAAAACAAACACAAAAAATAAACATTTTAATCTTACAGTCCAGTACCTTGAAAAGTACAGTAGTACAGTACAACAGCTGGCATACAGGGGCTGGCGTTGAGTGAACAGGCAAGAAGAGTTACTGACTGGAGGAGGGAGAGGAGGTGGGAGATGGTAGAGCTGAAGGATCGTCAGTAATAGGAGACGGAGGGCAAGCTGCAATTTCACTCACGCCTGATGCTGATGGAACGCACGTTCACGTCTTTGAAAGTTCACAACTTGAGGAAGGTTTGTATGTAGGGAACTTACTGTAATTAGGTGATGGCCCGATGAGAAAGGGGATGGGGGGAGGGAGGGTGGCCCAGGAAAGACTCAGGAAGAGCCCACCAGCCATTGCAGGCAGAAGCCTTGGTGTGGGCTCAAAGCCACCAATCCAGATAATGAGAGAATGGCTCCAAGGCAGTGATGGAAGAGTTTGGAAGAAGACAGGGGCTGGCAAACTTGTCACTCAAAAAAAACTGCTTCAGTGAGCTCATATTAAGCAGTAAATAATTTTGTATGCAGCAATCTTTTACCAGTTTAACAGTTCTGTAGATTTGTGGTTTCATGGGTCAGGATATACTGTCTTTTCAATCTTAGATCATCATCATCATCATCATCTCGGACATTGCTAATGACAATAATAATGATGATGATGATGACGATGATAACTGTCAAAGTTAAAGGCCGAGCAGATGAGGAGCCTGGCACAGAACAGGTGCCTTGTGGTTGTAAAAAACAAATACTTTGGAAGAAACTGGAATCCTCTGATGATTAAAAAAAAATCAGATCCTACATTTCAAATGAAAACTTGTTAAAGTCAAAACAATAAAACCTCAAATTCCCTTGTCTGTGGCCAGACCTTCAGGTCAAAGGAAAACTAACAGAAGTGGTGGCCCAGGGAACCACAAGGTTGGTTCTGCTCCACATCCTTAGGGAGGCGTGGCTGGCCTCGGGGGCCCGACAGAGGCTTTCCTCTGCACCTGGGATTTCTGCTGGTTTCTGCTGAAAGGGAACCAGTAGGGAGATCGGTTCTCCAACATCCGCATACGACACCCCATGGCTTCCTGCTGTCTTGGGATGCAGACTAGGCTGGATGGCCCACGGGGACAGCAGTCACTGGGACATGTTCCTTGGCAAAGGGTCACCATTGATCACTGAGAGAGAAAGAGAAAGCTGCACAAGACCAGGCCAGAGCTGGGGACAAGGAATGCTTGAGGCTTTGTGGTTAAATTTGTACTAATGACTAATTTATAAGTGCAAGCAGCAGCCAACTGGGTTGAGGCTGAAAGAGAAATCAGAGTGGCTTCCTGCCATCAGTGCCGTATCAGGGTTCTGTCAACAGTGCCAAGTGTGGCATAGGGAATAAAACTGTCACCAGGGCCGTTTATCAAGAAGGTGAACAGGATGGGTAAGCATACAGAATCATAATCCCTCAACCTGTCCTGGGGACCCAGGACAGTAAGGCACTTCCTGTGATATGACATTCTGGAATCATAGGGTGACCAGGGGTGCTCTAGTTCATGCCTGGTCCTCTCCCAACACTATCCTTTTTAAAGGGAGAGGTACAACAGGGAAGCAGTGCTGTGTGCACCCAACTTGCCCCAAACCAGTTTCCCTCCAAAGAATCCAGGGAAAGCAGAACTGTTCACAGCTCTCCACCAGCCGGAGTCGGAGAGTGGGTAAAACATCCTGTATCCCCCTGTGCCTGTGACTTATCAGGCCAACATGTTACTGCCATGCCTAATTTAAAAAATAACACTGGAATGACTTTTCTAAGGATATTCATTTATACACTGACAGTTTTATACAGACTAACACATTTAGTTTTTCCAAAGGAAAATAAAGAGAATCTCTGTGGCTAACATGCCTATTTTGTTTTAGCTTCACATGTGATTATTTTAGAAGCATCTTGTTGGATGTGGCCTTTCATACTCAGCAGCGTTTATGTTAAAATAAATCATAGTGAATGTGTATGATTTTCTTAAGGGCCACCAATTCAGGGACTGAGGTATTTTTTATGAGCCACTTTTATAAACTTATAATAGCAAAGTGATCTGAGATTCGCTGCTCAGTGCTCTGTAATGGTCTATGTGGGAGGGGAATCTAAAAAGGAGTGGATATATGTGTATGTATAGCTGGTTCACTTTGCTGCGCACGTGAAGCTAGCACAACATTGTAAATCAACTATACTTAAATAAAAGTAAAAAAAAAAAAAACCCTAAAAAAAAAAGTTATCTGAGATTCAAAAGTTGGAATTCTGAAAAACAAGGTGCCATCTAAACAAGGGGTTGGCAAACTATGACTCATGGGTCAAATCTGGCCCTTTGCTGGGTTTTGTAAATAAAGTTTTATTGGAACACAGCCACACCCATTCATTTGAGTATGGTCTATGGCTGCTTTCACAATACAATGGCAGAGTTGAGCAGTGGCAAGACACTGTATAGCCCATAAAACCTAAAATATTTACTACTGGCCCTTTAAGGAAAACCCCTGATCTAAAACGTGGTCCCCAGAACAGCAGTATTGGCATCACCTGGAAGCTCCTCAGAAACGCAGACCCTCAGACTCCCCTCTGAGGAATCTGTGGTTTAACAAGGTTTCCAGGTGATTCTGAAGCAAGCTAAAGTCTGAGAAACTCAACTGTGCAAACAAAACACCTAGGGAGCTTGTTAAAACAGAGATGCTGATTCCCAAAGGCTGGGTAGAGTCCAAGATTCTGCAGTTCTAAGGAGCTCCCAGGTGATGCTGATACTGCTGGTCCTCCAACCAGACTTTGAATAACAAGGGTCTGGTATGTTTCCCCGGCATCATCTGCAGCAGAATTACCAGTGGTGCTATCCAGGGCAGTTTTTTAAAGGGGGCAGGCAGAGTTTGTTCTGAGGAAACCAATTCAAATACTTTTAAATGAACCCCAATAGTACAGCTTCCCAGGGCTTACCTTCTTCAGTATTTCTGTGTTCAGCAGCATGTAAATGTCTATAGTACGACTTTCTTCTTTAGCCAGCGCACTAAGATTACAGTGCATTGTTAGGCAAGAAATTCCTGGCTTTTCGCAGTCCTGAGAAGAACAAACAGAGAATGATCAAACCGTATTAAGAACAAAGACAAGAGCACAGCATTTATAGCACAGAGGGCACTGTGAGCTTCTATTCTGCGGACCAAGGCCATGCCAGGTAGAGGAAATCCATAGGAAGATGCAATTATTCCTTCCTGCCACCAGAGGGCAATCAAGGGACTTCCTTCCTGGCAGGCACCAGAACATGCCTTCAAGTCTAAGCTCACTGGTGCACCCTACCAAAAAACTGGATTTGCAAGGAGAAAGAAGGGTTTTTTTTGTGTTGTTTTTAAAGAAACACATTTACATATTTTGGGAGCATTCCTCTTATGAGTTTTGAACACAAGGTGCATGTCCTAGATCATGTGATTTCTGCCTGTGAAGTGACAAATACACTTTCATGCCCAATTTTTAGGTTGGGCAAATTAAAGGCCTACAAAGTCACATGACTCAAGAAACCACAGGAGTAAAGAAAAACACGTTTAACCAAGAAAACACACGAATTACAGCTAGAAACCTAAATTCCAAATTTAAGTTACAAAGGAGGAATTCTTTTGTATTGTAGGATCCAAAATGTGCAAACATACCTTCACGATGTTTCACATGTGGGGTAAAAATTTCAGCTAGATAGAGTTGCATCCGTCAAACAACTAGATATCAGTATATCTAACAATTCTAAGGGCTTCAAAAAAAAATAGCTGATCGGGCTTCCCTGGTGGCGCAGTGGTTGAGAGTCCACCTGCCGATGCAGGGGACACGGGTTCGTGCCCCGGTCCGGGAAGATCCCACATGCTGCGGAGCGGCTCGGCCCGTGAGCCATGGCCGCTGAGCCTGCACGTCCCAAGCCTGTGCTCTGCAACGGGAGAGGCCACAGCAGTGAGAGGCCCGCGTACCGCAAAAAAAAAAAAGCTGATCATCAGCATTATGTAAGTAAAAATATTCCAACTTTCCAAATGGCAAACAGTCCTACTACTTCCACTGCAAAAAAAATTGAGGAAGGAAATGTCAGCGAGACGTGCCGTAGCCGAAATAAGGAGCTGAAGAGATGTAACCAAAGACATGGAGACAGGAGGTTGTGGAAAAGCATCTGATTCCATCTTTAATACCTTCACTTTTAAAAAAGTTGAGGTATAACTTACATACACTAAAGAGAATAAATCTTAAGGATCCATCTTGATATATTTTTACATACGTTTATAACAGATCAAGATATAGAACATTTCTTGCACTTAAGCAAGTTCCCTCATGCCCATGACTGTCAATATTCCTCCAAAATTAACTGCTACCCTGACCTCCATTGTCATGGATAACTTTGCTATTTCTGAACTTTATGTAAGTCAAATATTACAACATGTGTCCTTTTGTCTCTGGCTCCTTTCACTTAATATTATATCTGTGAGATTTACTTATGTTGTTGGTGTTGCAGTTTTTATTGCTCATAATACACCAGTGTATGGGTACACTGCAATTGTTTATACATTCTCCTGGTGATGGACATTTGGATTGTTCCCAGTTTCTGGCTATTATAAGATTGCTGTGAACATTCTTGTCCATGTCTCTGGGGGATACAAGTACCCATTTCTCTTGGGGATATACCTGGGAGTGGAACTGCTGGGTCATAGGGTACAGATATGTTTAGTTTTAGTATATACTGCCCAATAGTGGTATACAAAGTGGTTGTATGAGAACCATCACTCTTGATTAGACTCATACTAGTGGGAGAAATGTTTAACTTTGTGCTTGGTGGGTTGCAAAGGTTTTCCCTTTGCCAGCCAATGGAATTAGAAATGTAAATTTAACACTTTGATAGAAACCTCAGGCTGAAAAATAGGAGTTGACTACAGTCCTTGTGACTTCCTAAGCCAATTGATTAAAACCAGATTTGGGAAATAATAAATGCCAAATAGAAGACTGGCTTCTCATCTCAGACTTGCCTTCCTAATGAGGACCACCCATGTTAACCCAAGCAGTAAGCAAATTCTTACCAAGACTTTTCTTCCCGACTTTGTGAAAAAAGCAAATATTGTATGGAAGATATTTTCTGGTTCTTGAGGGATGATACAGGGGGTTGGGTTTTTCTGGAAAGAACAGTTTCCCTTCTCCTGGCCCACCTGAAAATGAAAAGAAACCTGTCAGAGTGGTCCATCCCAAGAAAGGATGATGAGCCTGGAATCCCTTATTGTAGAGGAGGTTGCGGTAGAGCCCAAAGTCAACTGTTCCCCCTGGTCCATTCTCCAGGGGACAATAATGGCTGAAAAGCTGAAAGGCAGAAGTAGTAGCATCAACAAGGCCAAATAATAAGAAACGTGGATGCTAAGTTGTTAAATAATTGAGATGGCACACAACATGCAAGTGAGTTGTGACCAAGGAAGAGTGGACAAAATAAACTTTAAAAACATCCTTACATCAACTCTCTGAAATGAGCATTCATGTTCTTTGTCTGGAGAAAGAAAATGAGGCTCAGGTTAAATTACTTGCTAACAATCACACAGACCAGAACTCAGGTTTTAGACCGAGATCTTCTGAGTTCCAGCCTTTAGGCATGGCCCACTGTCAGAGGTTTTCAAACTGTGTTCCACGGAACCTCTAGGTGCTGTGGAACCCCTCAGTGGATTCCCTAGAGAGGAGAAGGGGCACCAAGCAGGACTGCTCCGGGCTCCCATCTCTGTTCCAACTAGAGCATCAACCACACATAATGTCATTTAAAACCAGGATTCTGCTACCAAAAAAAAAAAAAAATTTGGCATCCACTGCATTGAGCCATACAGGAGCTTATATGCCCTGGGAACCCTTGCTGAGTTACCTGATTTTGCTTCTGACAGCTTTTGAAAGTCCAGTGGAAAAACAATGCTGAGCAACAGCAACATTAAAAAAAGATCAAAACAACAGTAATAGTCTTCCATGTTGGTTTCTTTAAGAACAATACTATTTTTGATGCCTAAACTGGGGAAATGTTGAAAAAAACAAAGCCTTCTTTATATATCATCATATCACACTGTGTGTAGTTGAAGCTTTGACATGACTTAAGGTCAAGTTGCAAAATTAATCGTTAGTAATTCATAATTTAGGATTGTGTTTACAATCTGATTTCTAACCAGAATCATCTACTTAAACTACACTCTCCTATCTTTAATGCCTTTGAGTAAAATATAGTGTGTTTACACTGATTCAAGAATGTTTCAGCTTCTCATTCATGGTAGGGAGCAAGGTCTAGTTTAAAGTTTTTACATGGACACTTCTAACTTAAGCTAACAATGCTAATCTTTGAACAATGAACTTTAAAACAAGATCTCCAAATTTAATCTCTATTTTATCTTTGGTCTGAACACATATGCCAGGATTTACTATATATGCCTGAAGATAAATAAGATGAAGGTTTATTTCCTCAAATTAACTCTTAGAAAATAGAGTGTTGCCTTTAAAAGTCTCTCATAGTTTGGGGACTTACTGTTCTTTAAAATGCACTGCATTTTGTTTGTTTTTGGCTGCGCCTCTCAGCTTGTGGGGACCAGGGATTGAACCCGGGGCCACGGCAGTGAAAGCGCCAAGTCCTAACCACTGGACCACCAGGGAACTCAAGGGACTTACTGTTCTTTAAAACAGTAAGTAATGTGGTACTCTCTCAATTGCTTTATTCGAACCACAAAATCTGGGAGGACACACCAGTCTGAAATGGTCTCAATCAGTGTTGGTTTTGGATGCTTTTCGAGGTCACTAGAAGAATTAATGGGAAGGAGGCAATGAGATTTAACATAGATGTGGTGATTATTCCTGGGGTGCAACTGTAAGTTGTGATAAATATTTTAAAGCTCATTTTTGGAAAGCAAAACATTGGCTGATTATGTCGTGAGAATCAAGAACAATCACTTCTAAGACAGATGAGAAAAACAACTGCTGTAATGTTATGCAAATGGGTATTTGTGTCTTACAATAAAATTTCAGCATCAAACATGGATTCAAAATGTTCCGCATTTCAAATAAATTAGATGAATTGAAGATGATATGCTTTGGAATACTGTCAACTAAAAAAGTGGCTTTAATAATGCTATCCATTGATCTCAAAAGATGCACATCTGCATAAAATCATTTTGTGAAATGTGTGAATAAAAACAGTAATATAAATTAATGTAGTATTCTTCTATAATTTTAAGTGTGCGACTACATGATTAGGTTAAGTATTACAAGTAGGTATTTACTTTTCTAATTTTTTTAAAAATTGAGGTTAAAATTTACATTCCCTAAAAATGCCCAGATCTTAAGGGTATAATCTGATGAATTTTGACAAATGAAATCACCCACATAACCACCACCCCAGTGAAGGGACAGAGCACCTCCATCCCTCCAGAAAGTTTCCCCTGGCCCTTTTCCAGTCAATTCCCATCCCCAGCCCAAAAGCAATCACAGCTTTGATTCCTGTCAAGTTGGCCAAAAATCTGTTAAATTTACCTCTTTAGCAAAGTGGTGGATTGTGTTCTTTGGGGGTTGCCCTCTATTTGGGCATATATGGCACCTCACAGATAGAAAACATTTTGTTCACTGAACATCTGAGAACTTGAATGTGTGTGCTCATGTTAATTCCAATCATATTTCACTCAGAAGCATGTGGGTCTCCACTTTTCCTGTTTGTCTTCTGGAGTGGACATTTGCTGAAAAGCCGCTGGAGAAACAGTCCTTCTGCAGCCCTGTGGGATTCATGTTCTTCTGTGGAGATGACCAGGCCTGGACCCCCAAACACATTTGGTCTGGGTTGAGATAGATGGAACTCTGAGTCTTGCAGGATGCATCCGTTCCTAATTAAAATCAGGGATGGGGCAGAGCTCCTCCTGGCTCTGCAGTGGGCGATTTGGGTTTCCAGGCAGGGAGGGGAAGTGTAGGAGCAGAGTCCCAACCCAGCCAGGTTCACTGTCATGCCCACAGGACACCAGCACCTTGGGGGAGGGTGCTGGGAACCACAGGGAGAGGTGGGAGGAGCAACCGGTGCCAACACGTGGGGCACAGACACAGCTTGGAGCTCCATCTTCCTCTTTTCCCCTAGTGTCTTAGGGGCCTGTGAACAGAGTGATGACAGGGACGTGATGTGATCTGATGTGACATCTGATCTGCCTCAGGGGAATCTGGAGGAGGGAAGTGGAGGCTGAGTCTGTGGTGAATGAAAGTCTCAGCCAGTCATGCTCCCGACTGTGGTTACATGGGAATCACTTCAATCAGGGAAAACAACGTTTTTCCGGGAGGTTCAGGGTGGTCCTCTCTCAAAGGAGGCCGAAGGTTGCTCCGTGCTGCGTGGGTCTGGTTCAGACCAGCTAATCTGGTTGTAGACGCTCCCTCAGCTAAAATGAGCAACTTGGTCCCTGACCAGGGTCATGAGGGCAAGGGATTGTTCTGTGTGCATGGATAGAACGTGTGTGATGGACACAACGGTACCCGACACTTGTGCAGCCCTTACTGCGCACCCCTGTGAGGCGAGTGCTATTACTGTCAGCATTTTACAGATGGGGAAGCTGAGAGGCAGGGGGGCCAGGTCTCCCAGGGGGCAGGCAGCAGAGTTGGGCTGCAGCGCAGGTCATCCAGCTCCAGAAACCTGTTTGCAACCACTTCCCTGCCTCTTAGGTCCAGAGGCTGAGGATGGGGCTGGGGTAGGAGTCATGGAGGGGTGGGGGGTGGAGGTGGAGGTGGAGGGAAACCATCCCTTCCTGTTCTTACCCCAGTCAAAGGGAAGGAACCATGAGCCTACAAGCCCAGGAATCCCAAAGTCCTCCACCCTGACCCACTTCTGCTCCATGGGAGATAAAGTGCCTGCTGGCTGGGAGGCCAGGCCACTCCATGCTGTCTCAGGCTGGAAGGGAAACAGAGCATCCTGGAATGTTGTTTCTGGAAGGCAGCTCCAAGATCATACGGTCCCATGGCCTCGGCTGACAGTAAGGAACCAGAGGCCCTGAGTTCCGTGACTCGTCCAAGGTCACGTGATTGGTTGGTGGCAGCAAGCGGCACCCAGTGAAGGAATCCTGGGGCACAGGTGGCCTTGATGAACTTGACGGTCCTGGGCTCCTAACAGCTGATGCAGTTCAGGTCTCTGGGGCCTCAGTTTCCCCACTTGTGAAATTAGGATGGTGGCCTACGTGATCACTAAGGTTGTCCTCAGTTGCTAATTATGCCCCTTGAGGATTCTCCTGCATTTTCATTAGAGCGGGGGTCACCTAATCTCCTGCTACATAGATAAGCAATTACTGAGCACCCACCCCCCACAACTGGGTTCTAACCACCCCGTCTGGTGGTAAAATCATCAAGGAGATGCAAGGTTTTCTTCTTGCAGACAATCCAAGCACTATGGCACTCATATCCAACAGCTTCATTTCCGTGGCTGGCCAGGGACTCTGCGGCCACTGCCCCCTGCTCATCCCTGTCCACCCACTTCTCATCTATTTTTGCAGACTCTCTGAGTCCAAATGCTTCCCATGACACGGCTGCTCATCTTCCAGGACCTCTGGGGGCTGGAATAGGCCGTATCTACTGGAATGTGAATAAAAGAACTTTACCAAACACACAAAAAAGGACAAGAGGATACAGGACACAGTGTTAAGGCTGAATTTGGCAAATGCAGCTATTGAGGGTTTGCTGTTGCCATTTGGCCTCTGCCTCTCCCCTCATCCTGACCCCAAAGAAAACATTGTGCAAGTTGAAACCAAGAACTGGTGGTGATTTGGGAAATTGTGGGGAGTCCAAGAGAATGGGGACATCACTTGGTGGCAGGGTCCGGGTCAGCCTGGGTCAGAGGAACCTTCATAGTCAGAAGTCTTCAAGGGCCCAGGCCTATCCGAGGATGAAGTGTCCTCAGTGCACTCCAGGTAGCCTGGCAAAGCCTCATTCATGAAATACTGGGTTTAAAGTATGAACTGGGGCTGATTCATGGGTAAAATACTGAAAAAGGGAATTAACTCTCTGGGTCGAATTTATCATTACCTGCCACCAGGTGGAAAAGGACCTCTAGAGCTTTTACTAAAGACTCTCTAGGGTGTGGTGGTCTGATAAAGGGGTTGTAAGAAACGGCATTTCCTGTGGCCTCTACTGAGGGGCCACATGTTGTGGCCTCAAAAGAGGGGTCTGTACAAGGTAC